CTCGCCATTTTAATCTCCCTATCTTTCAGTTTTTAGTGAAGGTGACTTTTTTCCATTTGTTTCTAGGACAGTCATATTTCTTCTTCTGTGTTCTGTCCATTCCTTTTGATCATTGCTTTAAGAAAGTATTTTGTGTTTTCTTATTAATTTTTTAGTGCTTGCTAGATATTCTCAAACTTTTGTCATAAACATATCTTCCAGATTCTCACCTTTCAATTTTTCAAATTTTTTAATATACAGTCATCTAAAAAATTTAAATCAATATTTTCTGTTGCCTTTTTTCTCTTGCATTTTTATTTAGAAATTTCTTTACCCATGCAGAGACTATTTAAATATTCAACTATATTTTTTTCTAATTTTTTATAGACTCAATTTTTTAACTCTTTAATCCTGTGCTGATACCCTAGCTACTAGTTCCATGTAACTAAATTTAATTAAAATTAAGTTGAATTAAAAATTTAGATCCTCAGTTACATTAGCCACATTTTTCAGACAGACTATTTTTTAAAGAAGTTTTAGGTTCAATTTAGGTAAAATTAGAGCAATTTACGTAAAACTGAATGGAAACTACAGCAAGTTCCACATATCTCTAGCTTCCACTCACATAGCCTGCCCTAATATCAACATCCCTCACCAGAGTGAAACATTTGTTACAGTGAATCAATCTACACTGACACATCATTATCACCCAAAGTCCACAGTTTACATTAAGGTTTGTTCTTGATGTACATTCTACAGGTCTTGACAAATGTATGATGACATGTGTCCACCACTGTAGTACACAGAACAGTTTCACTGCCCTAAAAATCCTCTGTGCTCCACCCTATTCACTCTATTCATTCCTGTCTATTCATTCCTCCCTCCCTTCTAATCCTAGGCAATCACTCATCTTTTCACTGTCTCTATAGCTTTTGCTTTTCCAGAATGTCATATAGTTGGAATCATAGCATGTAGCCTTTTTCAGACTGGCTTCTTTCACATAGCAATATACACTTAGGTTTCCTCCATGTCTTTTCATGGACTGATAGTTCATTGCTTTTTAGCACTGACATTCCCCTACTGAAGGACATTTTGATTGCTTCCAAGTTTTGACAAGTATGAATAAAACTACCATAAACAGCATCTGTATGCAGGTTTTGTGTGGACATAAGTTTTCAGCTCATTTGGGTAAATATCAAGGAGCACAACTGCTGGATGGTAGGTATGGTAAGAATATTTTTGTTTTCTAAGAAACTGCCAAACTGTCTTCCAAAGTAGCTGTACCATTCTGCATTCCCGCCAGCAATGAATGAGAGTTCCTGTTGCTCCACATATTCATCAGCATTTGGTATTGTACTAGCCACATTTCATGTACTTAACACCACATTATTAATGGCTGCCATCTAGGACAGTTAAACATGGAATATTTCCATCATCACAGAAAGTTCTACTGGAAATACTTCTCTGTATGAAACTTAATTGGTTATACAGTACAAAAGGAACTAATGTGACTAATGTGTTTTTTTTCTCTGCATACATCCATTCTTTCTCCCATTGGATTTTGAAGGTTCTTTATCTATATTTGTTCAGAAATTCAAATTCCTGCTCGGCCACTTTTTAACTATGTGCCCATTAACAAATTATTTAACCCCTCTGACTTTCAGTTTCCTCATTCTAATTACTCATTAGTTTTGTGCAAGGACTAAATTAGATAAGCATGGTAAGATAAATTACAACATTCATCATGCTAAGCCCTCATTAGTAAACTCTTCTGGGTTAGGAGTTTGTTTTTTTGAATGTTTCATAATGGTACTTTAAGGAGCATTACTGAAAGCAAAAGCATAATACTGTATTTACCCGATTTGGGTTTTTGTAACCCAAAAGTAGATTTGCTGCTTTTATATCACCATGAACATATTCATTTTCATGTATATATTCTAGTACATCCAACTGTGAAAAGAAATAGAAAATATAAGGTTATACTGTTATCTATTTAAAACTCATGATTTGAACATTTTGAATACAGAATAATACAGGTTTTTTTTTTCATATTAACAATGACAAAGTGATGTATTTCACAGTTACTGGTTAATTACTCTATTCTAAAATATCACATCTTCTGGTTGCTCACCCTAGAAAACACTTGAATAAAATGATCCTCAGATATCAAGTGTTTTACCTGAACCTCTGATAGAAGGAAAACAGGATTCAACAATGCTTATCCCTATGCTCCTTATAGCCCAGTGGCTAAAACACACTGTGCAAAGAGGAAAAATACAGCACAAACCAGAGATCTATAGTGAAATAATCATGAAGCCCACTCAGCAATTCCTCATCTAAGCAACAATAATAAATCAAGTCTTGGGGACCTCAGAACAAAATACATGTCCATGAGAACAGGGAAAGGCATTCTTCCTCTATATAGAACAGAAAACTACTTAGCTTCATCTTTAAAGCCCTTCAGTCTTGCACGTTGCATACACCTAGTGCTCAG